AAAGACGTGTCTTTTTCCTACTTTTCCTGTCCTTTCTTGTGGTGCATCTCTTCACACCCTTCCTGTTCTCTTTTATTTGCATTTTTAAATTTGGGTATGTGTTTTGCTCAAAAAAATCTAGTTGCAGTTTATAATTAGGCATTACTAAATAATGAACATGGATGCACATCTTGAAAAATATATCTATAATATAGGGTATCTCCCATCTTACAGTCAGTAGTAGTGATGGATCATCACAATTACCTGATGCCCATTTTTCAGGGCTAGTGTATCAATAAAGGAATTGGTGAATGTGTTGTTACATACACACCTTGTAAATACTTGAATGCAAATCCTGTGTCATCTCTCTTATCATATTTTATGTTTAACTGATGCGTGCATTCTCAGGCCCTGAGATTGCTTTCAGTTGCACCCAGGCCATGATACAAAAAAAAATTCATGCCTCTGAATTATCTTCGCTTCTCCCCATTTGGATATTCCTTATGTAGAAATAATAAAAGAAGGGCAATGAACTTGTTTTCTTGTGTTTGATTAAAGTGGCTGCTTTAAATGCAGCACATTTTTACGTAGCTGCAATCATGGATCCTTCCTGTGCCAGTTAGTACACTGCTGATAGGACTCTAAGAGGCATTTACCAACAGCTTAATCACGTAGATAGTCCAAGTAGTTTATTGAGAACACTTAAGGAGAAAAGACCGCCAGATGAAAAATCCCAGGTATGTGGTGTTTAATGTAGCAAGGCAAATCTTGACTTGTCAGTTAGTTAATGTACGAAAGAAACAAGCACGCAAGATGGAGACATATTGTGTCAAACTGATTTACGATGTGTGCAGATGTTTGGTACACAGCTCAAAGATCTTGGCAGAATGAATGGAAAAAGATTCCAGGTGTATGGTAAGAACTGCTCTTGCTTACTAATCATTAGGTATTGAAAAAATGCTTCACCTTTACTGTTAGAAATAAGTGGATGTAAAGTGAACTGCCATTTTATTTAAGAATCACTCTGAATTAAGAAAATAAAATCAAAGTGCAGGAAAATAAATAGACATTTTTGGAAACCTTGGAAAGATGTTACAACATTCTGTTTGTCTAAAATATCTTATCCTATGAGATAAGAGATCTGTGGAGAGCTATTAGTAAATTCAGAAATGCAAATAATGGAATTATCAGAAGACATGCAATTTGAACTTATTTGTGGTAGGTGAACAGGGCACTGAATCCTTTGTAAATGGGATTTTGTGATGAAATACAGCTTCTACCTTAGGAAGTGTTCATTTGGTGCAGTGTTTTTGCAGTGGGCTAAGAATACACATGCACACAGTTGCTGCATACCAGCTGTTGCAGGGCAGCTGGCTGACATGCCACAGCTTGATCTGGTGTCAGGAATGGCACAGGGATAACAGAGCTTTTCTGCTGGAAGAGAGCTGTATTAGGTGACACCTTGGAATTCCTTCTACTCCTTTGACTTTATTTATTGTACCAAAGGTAAGCTAGTTGATGAAATGCCATCTGAAAATGGCTGAAGTTCAAAGCCACTTTGGTCTAGTCAGTTTAATGCATAAATTTCTGCATATTTATTTTATTACTTTTTTCACTAGGACATCCTAAGTTTTCATTGCTTAACCATGTTTTTGTAATTTGATTGAATTATCATCTTTTCCTTCTCTTACTTGCAGCATTTGATTTACTGCATAACTATTCAGCCAGAGTGCCCATGGATACCAGTGTGCCTGTTCTAAAGAGCTGGACTTCAGCAGAGATCTGGACAATAATATATATGACCACGTTGATGTTAAAAACAGATGACAGATGTTAGAATGGATAACTCTGTTTTGTTTAATTTACATTGAAAGTTAGTTACACATAAAGATAATATGAACTAATGTCATATATTAGTTATAAAAAAAGATAAAAATAGATAAAATATTGCTATATTAATTTATTCACGTGTAAAACTAATGTGAGTAAAACTCACTGCTTGAAGTTTCCCTAATTTTAATAATTTTCTTCATAGCTATTAAACCTGCTGGGAGATGAAATTACATATAATTTTCATTCTTACAATTGAAAGACTGCTAAATTCATGCCAGTTTAATGTCTTCACCAGAAATCCCTGCAGTACTCTTCAGGGAATCATGTATTGACAGACAGGTACAACTATGGTGGGACTGACTAAATCACAAATACAGCAGTTGCAGCAATGCAATCTAACAGTGGATCTTCCTTAGTTGTGAAGAAGTGAATTACTCCTCTACCTTTTAAGAAATCTGCTTTCTGTGATCAGTTCTTGATAACATCATACACCTTCTTTGTACTTTTGCAAAAAGCCTGAGTGCTGTGACAGCATCCCTTCCTAAAGTGAAATTGTTTTACATTGTATTGTTGATGCTGCTGATGGGTGTTAACATTGCAAGAAAAGTGGGATGATGTAGTCTTCTCAGGACTAATCTGCATCTTTTTCACTAGAGAAACAAACTTTGTGCTGCATAAATATAAACCAGCCAAAGTACTGGACTTTTAAGTGATATGGTATTTGTTCTTTTGGGAAAAAACCCCAAACACTATCATCGATGTAGGCTACTGCCTTCTACTTCATCCTAGAAGATGAACTAGACTAGAAAAAACCTGTCTTTTCAGCAAACAGCTATCAATGCTTTTATTTTTCTTAATGTAAAAATAGTAGAAGCAAGGTCTTTTTATTAGCTCTAGAGGTTTTGAATGTTCCTAGCCTGATAAAAGACTCAATTACTGTGTGTATATATATGCATATGTTTGTATTTTCTGTTCATTGGGGAACAAAGAATTTCCTTGAAAGTATCTCTTGAGCTATTTTTTGTATCTTACCAGAGGCAGTAGATTTTAATAACTCAGTGGCATGGGCAAGAGATAACTGCAGTTTGGCTATGGACACATTTCAGTTTCACATTTCATTTCAGTTTAGCATTGAAATTGCAAGGAAAATAGCCCACTTTGAATTTCACGTTGAGCTGACAGGAACATAAAAATGGTGAACAATTTTGTGGAGGAAAGAAAAAAAATATTAAAAGCTTTCCTGATTAAGTTCGAAATAACACTGAAGCATTTTAGCTTAAAAAATAAAATAATAATATTATTGTTGTTCATTGACAGTATAGTGAATTTGAATATATAATACAACAGATGTTATTATTTCAAGTATGTAAAAGCCTACACTCTTGCATTGTGATATTGTGTTTGAGGTTGAAAAAACAAACCACTGTAAAAATGACATCTGTGGGCAATTTTTAGATACTTTGTTCCATGTCAGAATTGCAGTGTTGCGTACTGCAACACTTATGATTTAGCATGAATTCAGTGAACTTTGTGCCTGTGTTTAGAAATTGTTTTCATCTGAAGACAGAGGAAAAAAAGCAGGAGTTGGGTTCTTGTAGAAAGAGAGCTGTTAGTGACCAGGGGAGGCTGATGAGTGATGTAGTTTTGAGGTAAAATTGCAGGATAATGCTTCAGATTGTAATCTGCCAACACGTATCTCCACCTAGTGAAATAGGTACTTTCCTTGCTGAATCATTTCAGCAAGAGGACTTAATTTGCAGAAGACTCTAAAGACAAATGAATACATTTTTATCTTTCTGTGCATTACTGGTTTTGAAGAGGGAAGAAAAAAAACATAGTGATCTTTGTGATTTAGAGGTGCTTAAAATTCCATTATGTTTGCAATTTTTTTTACAGTAGGAAGAATTCACATCCTCATGAAACATCTAATTTGTCCAAGGTATAAGCCTCGTAGGAACACTGCTGTGTACTCAGTTGATGCTTTTCTGGTTTTGATATCCAAATTGTTCAAAGATTCCTGTTTCACTCAGCTGACCAGATTTTTTCACAAAAACAATTTGCTGTGATTTTATGTGAGACTAGAGGTGTTCAGATGGATTTTTACTATAAAGCCATAACTAATTCATACTGGTTTGGTTGGGGGTGGGGAGGGGCATAATAGAAAAGTTTTCTATAGTATATGTATGTGAATGTGTACATATCTGAATGTATGAAAAGAATGTGAACATGTGCAGATGTGTGCATTTGTATATATATATGTTTGCATACATATATAAGAGTGTAGGTATATAGAGGTGTATAGAGACAGTTACAGTGGCAGAGTGCTATGCAGTTCTGAAAGTATGTGGTACCAAATTGTACCTAGGTTTATTTTGAGCTCTCTCACTGCTAGAGCATTCTGTATTGCAGCTTGAAATGATTGAAAACAGAGTTGTATTTTAAAGTAGGTGAAATTAAAAGAGAATAAATCCAAATAAATCCAAACAGTATAGATGTTTTGCTTTCTAGTACTTCAACTTAAATATTGTGTTTTAAAGGTGCTCCATGCAATCTCAATGTTTGGGAATGTATAAATAAAATTAGAACATCTTACTGAACTGGATGCATACTATTGTGTTTGTTATGGTAAACATGGGACCTGACAACACACTATAATGTATTCCAGTAACATTGAACAAAACTTTGTGAGTCTTAATATTGAAAAGTACAGAAGATGACTCATACACAATATGTGGGAAAGAACATATTTTACAAGTGTGTGAAATCTGATTGTTTCTTCATAATCAGTCTAAAGACAGAAGAAAGTATCTATTCATCTCCTCTGACTTTAATCCCATGATAGATATAATTCCTGTCTTTCTGTGTTCTTCCCAGTTTTTTTTAATTCATCTAGAGAGAAATAGACTGAGACAATGCAACTTTTAAAATATGGAAGTGTTTATATAAATCATTGTAATAATTTTTCAGGAAGTAATTTGTTGGTTCAACAAGATAATAGATTTTAGATTGCAGCTTACTGCTTTGCAGCTGTCCACCAACTATGCCAGCTTTCTTTAACTTCTTGAG